TGCGTGCGGATTTGGATCCTGCCTCTTTTGCGCGGTTCGTGGAGGAGCTTGCGCAGCGCAATGCCAAGGTGCAGCCTGGCCCGGTGCCGGCACGGCGGCCTGGCCGCAAGGTTGCTGCTGGCAGCGCCCCCTCGGCGTCTGCCCCTGCGCGGCGCTCCCCCCGACTTGTATCTGCTTAATTCCCCTGCTTCGTATGTCCCTCGATGTACTTCTACTTCTGTTCCTTGCGCCTACTCTCTCTCTACACTGCTTTGACCGCATTGTTTCTGCTCGGCAGCTTACGCGGTTACGGCTCGAGGACGATGCCTATTCCTGGAGGGGGGCAGTGTAGTAGGAGCAGCGCTGCAGCGCCGGCGACGGCGCCGACGGCGCGGCGTGCATGCTATGCTGTTTAGCCCCTTTTGCTGGTGTTTCCGCCTGCCCCTGGGCCTTTCTGCTGGGGTGCAGGCGCCGCTGTAAGCACGCTTATACCTTAGCAGAGAGAGCCATAGTCAGATAGAGCGATCAGCGGGATAGCGGAGGCTAGTCCTGCTACAGGGACGGACGCCGGCGGCAGGCCCAGGAACTCGTGGAACAGCTCCGGCCAGCGCTCGCGCTCGGCGGCATACACGGGGCACACAAACAGGATGTGTCGGGTGTCCTCAATGCCGCCAGGGCCATCCAGGGCGGGGCACACGCACTGCTCGCGGGGCGTGCCAGTGCGGCGCCCCTGCTCCTCCGCCCCCCAGTGCATGCCTGTGCGCAGCTCGGTCAGGCCGCGGCGGCAGATAAATGGGGCAGTGGAAAACCATATGGGTCTCGTCTTCAATGGCGGGAGAAGCACACAAGAGGCAGGTGCGTTAATGGGTGGGGGCCTGGATGGCCTTTGGCAAATAGCGTTCCCGTTCGATGCGAAGGTCATGGCAACTGGTTCTAAAGCGAGTGAGGGCGATACGGCGATTGGGGTCATAGACTTCAAGCAAGTGAGGTGCTGGTTGGGAGAGGGGCAGGCCGCCGCGAATGTGCTGTAAGTAGTAGGCAAATTTGTTGGTACTGCTGGCTGTTACTGGGGGCTGCTGCTATTGGCAGATGCTGCTGGCTGCTGCTGGCTGCTGCTGGCTGCTGGCTGCTGCTCTCGGGCTCCGGCTTGGTCAGCGCGGGCTCCAGGGACTGGCGAAGGTAAGCTGCTGCTGCGCGCTCCACCACGGTCTTCTCATCCAGCTCCGTCAGCCACACGATCGTTCCGCTGTCCGTGGGTGCCGACAGCAGAAACTGCTGCCAGCGCCGGCACCAGCAAGGCGAGCCGGCGGCGAGATCGGTCCCCTCGCGCATCAGCGCCAGGTTGTCCTCAAAACGCCCAGGCCAGGACCCGGTCCGGCTCGGCCAAT